CTTTCCACTTCATTACCTGATTCCTCTTTGCTCTTATCACTTTAAAAACCTAGAGGTTTAAGGAAACTAACATTTATTTCCCTAAACTGCTCACTGCTTTCTGTTTCTTGCCTTGGTTAATCATCACAACGAACCACTGAATGAGTGCTTTAATTACCCCTCTATCACAGAGGAAGAAGGAAGTGGTGGTTCAGTGGTAGAATTTTCACCTTCCACGGGAGAGACCTAAGTTCAATTTCTAGCCAGTGCACTGTAAGTGTCCATCTGTATGTTGCTACTGTCACCTGAAAAATGCTGGGGTCTGGCCGTCGAGTGGTACAGCCAATAGTCCACACCAGATTCCAAGGAGAAGAGCATTTTAATCAGAAGTTGTACCAATAAGAGATGGGTGGGGTCTCAGTGACTCAAAAAAAAATGTTCTCTCTGTTCAGTGCTTACAAGCAGGGGTTCTTACACTAAAGGAAAAGAGACAGGAGTGATTAGTTGCAGGATTAGTTAACAATTTTCCAAGAGATAGGACAATCACTGATTAAGAAAGGAATGTTTCTTTTGCTTTCTAGGCAGTCAGGTAAGCCTTAAGAGGCTCCTCTGGTGTTTCTCAAAGTACAGGTGGCAGGTCCCAAAGCCCAGCCCAGGTGCCTTTATTGACACAGATGGCCCTGTCTTAGATCACAGGTACAGTAGGAACTGATAACTGTATCTTAGAAAGAGAACAAGTTAATTATAACACAAGGTTGAAGCCAGGTTTTAAAGAAATGGCATCTTAACTAAAAATATGGAGTCAGGCCTCCTAAGAATAAATCTTCAAGCCTTACACTGTGGTGCTGAACAGGTTTCAGTGGGGCTTCCAAACTAAGACAGACCAGAAAAAAAGGCCTGGTGATCTACTTCTGAGAAATCAGCCAGTGAAAACCCTGTGGATCACAACGGTCCAATCCTGTTGTGCATGGGGTCTCCATGAGTCGAGGACTAACTCAACAGCAGCTAACACTTACAGAGGAAAAACCCTGAGGTTCAGAGGGCTAAGCAATTAGCCTAAGACAACACAGCTCAGATATGTTGGCTCAAACCCAGGCCTGTGTGACTTCAAAGCTTGTGCTAGGACCATGGCACTGAGGAGACTCCTCTTCTGATCTCTTGGAGAAAGCAACCTTCCTTCTGTTTGTTATGACCTGCTCTGGGTCATAAACACATACAAAGTGTTAGATCTATGTACATGCATTCAACTCTAAATCCCAAAAGTTCTCACCCTCTGGCTTTCCGGTGGGTGGGGTTTGGGGAGACTCCAGGGTGTGAAGCCAGTGCTGAGCATGTCTGTATTATGTCTCATATTTCTGAGTCAGCACTTACGCTCCTGAGGCTTCTACCCACCCTTGTCTTCTCAGTTGCCATTTCCCAGGCCTGACAGTCCCTGCCAGTGGCTCCCCTGTCAACTGCTATCCATCTCCACAGAAGAACTCACTCTTTCCCATACCACACTGATAAGGCCCTTCGCCTGTTGTGCCTGTGGAATGTCTGTGTAACAGATGCCTCAACAGGCTAAACATTTCCTTTCTGCCCTGTTGCTGTGACTTCCTCTTAGCATTTACCCCTTCAGCGTATAGTTTAATGAGGAGATAAATATTAACCCTTGAGGAAACGCAGAGTGTGATCTGTGATGAGGTGTGTGTCTATATCTTCTGTCTTCTGTACATGAATGTAATTTTTATATGACTCTTTGGCCACAGAAAAGTGATAAATATCAAAGGAGAAGCAATAGAATGGAAAACACAATGAAATACCATCAGTAAAATTATAGCTGCAATATACTTTTCAAATTTGATGGAAATGCATGTCTCACTTGATAAGCAATCACAGTGGAGGAGCAAGTAATTCCCATGAGGGCAAAGCAGTAGATCATCATAAGGAAGCATGCAGTCTGCTGTCTGGGAAAGCAGTGCCATGTAAAACACTCCTTGAGATAGGACCATAGTCTCATGGGACATCTCAGTTAATTGGCATAATATAGTTTATAATGTTATGTTCTACGTGATTGTTTAGTGAGTAACATCTAGGGCCTTAAAAATTTGTGAGAGCACTGCCAGATCTCAAA